GCACGTGGATGTCTGGAATGGCAGGAAGTGTTTGCTAAAGCTGAAGGGAAAGGTAAAAATTGGTGTAATTAATTAGCTGACGATGAATTAATAAATAAATTTGATGCTTGCCTGAACGAAGAAGAAAAAAGAAAAAAGAGAAAAAGAAGCAGCAGCAACAGAACCAGAACAAACCCACGAGAGAGAAGAGGACAGAGGGGCGGCAGCGAGCTCGTAGCAGGAGCGAGAGAGAGAGAGAGAGAGCGCAGTGCGGGAGGCGAGAGCAATTGGCAATTTGCCGACAAGAAAATGAAACTGCACGAGTCAGGCTTATCAAGAAGCCCCAGACTACCTCGCGGGGCCGAACGCCGCCGCCGCTCCGCCCGCCCGGGAAACCACGGGAATGCAGTACCGCATGGACGGGACTGGACGCTCGGCGCGCATGGGGGCGATGCAGGGGAGGGGGCGGTTGATTCCGCTCTCTCTCTCTCTTCTCTCCTCTCTCTCTCTCTCTCTCTCTCTCTCTTCTCTTCTGCTTCTGCTCTTGTGCTCTCTCTCTCTCTCTCTCTCTCTCTTACTATCCTCTCTCGCCTCTTCTTCTTCTTCTCTTTCTCTTCTCTCGTCTCCCTGCCTCCTCTCCTGGCTCCAGTCTCTCCTAACTCTTCTCCCTCGTATCTCGTATTCCGTCGCTCGCGTTCACTCGTCTACTTGCTTTCGTTGCTCGCTACTCCCTGTTCTTGCTTTTTTGTCTCCTTTCTCCATGAACCTCGAACAGGACGCCCCATCTGTCAGAGCATTATCTCTTATTACCTAGCGATCAATTATGTGTTACCAAATTTTGGTCGTTGCCACGTTTTTCGTTTTTCTATTTTATCCGCCTCTCTTTTCTCTTTCCTCTTCCCTCTGCCCTTCCATTTCCCCTTGTGTTCTTTTCCCTATTTTCAACTTCCCGTATTAGTCGTCCCCTTCTTCCTCCCCTCCCCTCACCTCATAACGCTTTGTTACTACTTCTCCCCCTTCCCCCCTACTGTAACTCTGCTTCTTTATGTCTCCTTTCCATCCCCTCTACCTCCCTTTTCCTTCTCGTACTCCGGCTTTCTCCCCTCCTGGGTCCACCCCTTCTCCTTCCATCCGTTCCACCTTTCTCCCCCTTTCCTCCTCTTCTCTCCTCTCCTCTTTTTTTCTTTCCGCGCTCTTCTCCCGGATCCCGCCCTCTTACCCCCCCCTATTCCAGTACCAGTTCGCTGCTCGCGTACGTCCTAGAAGATATTGAATTGTTCTGGCAGCTGCTTTGATTAGACGTCACAGCCCCTGAAATTATTTGCGCTAAACATTAAAGTATCCTTCTGGGAGCCTTTAATATGTGAAAGACGGGAACTGTGGGGTAAGGGAGAGGAGCGGGACTGCGCGGTCTGTAGAGAGTGGGCAGACCGTATGCCTGACTTGACATGGGATTGGTACTGGGCGGGAGGAGGCTGGGCACGCGGTGGGGGATAAAAAGGCTCAGTGTCACCAATCTGGAAAGGAAACAGGGTAATAAAGCAGGAATTTGGACGTCCGCTTGCAGGGAATGTCAGCTAGAAAGGCGAGGATTGAGTGGGGGATGGGAAGAAGAAAATCTCTTGAAGGACAGGGCCATGGATTACAATGGCGAACGATGGGTGGGCAGAGGGAGGAAAGGGCGAGGAAGGATCTGAGAGGCAAAAGGGTAGTGGATCGAATGGAGTGTTAGCCTTTCCCCGCAGTGTGGAAGGTACGTGAGGAGCAATGGGGAGGGAGGTGAAGAGAGGAAGATGGAGTGAGGTCGTGAATTGAAGCGGCGTTACAAGCCTCGGGGAGGAGAGTGCAAGGAGATAGAGGGGAAAGGGAGGAGTGCGATAGGGGAAGAGAATGGGTACTCCGACACTCGCAATGGGTGAGATGGGAATGGTTGGGTTAAGGGAAGGGAGGGGTAAGGAAGGTAGGGAGGGTGAGGGGGCTGGATGGTTGGGTAGGAAGACAGGGACTAAGGGACGGAGGAGGGCAGTGACATGATTGGGGCGGGGGGTCCTGGTGAGCCAGCGAAAAAGGGGGAAGGGGGAAGGAGGAGGGGGAGGGGTGCTGCATATCGTGGTGTGAAGTTCAAGGCGTCTTCGAGGTGGATCGGCTGTGTTTTCATTCCTTTTTTTTTTACCCTTTATTAAGGCATTAGATTTACTTAGTTTTTTTTTCCTTACTCTTTCTTTTTAAGCGTCTCTCTCTCTTCTCCTCTCTCTTCTCTCTCTCTCTCTCTCTCTTCTCTCTCCCTCTCTCTCTCTTCTCTCTCCCTCTCTCTCTCTTCTCTCTCTCTCTCTCTCTCTCTCCTCTTTCCTTTCCTTTCCTCCCCTTTCGTCCTATCTCATCCTATCCCCTACCCTATCCCTTCCCTTCCTTCCCTTCCTTCCCTTCCTTCCCTTCCCTTCCTTCCCTTCCCTATCCACTTCCCTTCCCTTTCCTCCACTCCCCTTCTTTCCTACCTTCGCTCTCCCGCACGAGCCCGGCCTTTTGACTTTCAAAGGCCGCGATCGCCGTCGGCCCTTTCCTTTCCCTCCTTTCCTCGCTATCTCATCCTATCCTACCCTATCCCTTCCCTTCCCTTCCCTTCCTTCCCTTCCTTCCCTTCCCTTCCTCCCTTCCCTTCCTGCTTCCTCTACTCCCCTTCTTTTCTACCTTCGCTCTCCCGCACGAGCCCCGGCCTTTTGACTTTCAAAGGCCGCGATCGACGCCGTCGGCCCTTTCCTTTCCCCTCCTTTCCTCGCTATCTCATCCTATCCTACCCTATCCCTTCCCTTCCCTTCCCCTTCCATCCCTTCCCTTCCCTTCCCTGCCCTTCCCTTTCCTTTCCCTTCCCTTCCTTCCCTGCTTCCCTTCCTTCCTTGCCCTTCCCCTCCCTCCCTTCCTATCCCTTCTTCTCTTTCCTACTTTCCTACCTTCACTCTCCCGCACGAGCCCGGCCTTTTGACTTTCAAAGCCGCGATCGCACGTCGGCCCTTTCCCTTTCCCTCCTTTCTCGCTATCTCATCTATCCTACCCTACTCCCTTCCCTTCGTATTCCGCTTCCCTTCCCTTTCCTTCTCGCTTCCTTCCTTCCCTTCCCTTCCCTTCCCTTCCTCCTGCTTCCTCTACTCCCCTTCTTCCTACCTTCGCTCGCCGCACGAGCCCCCGGCCTTTTGACTTTCAAGGCTCTCGCCGTCGGCCTTTCCCTTCCCCCTTTCTCCTCGCATTCATCCTATCCCTTACCCTATCCCTTCCCTTTCCTTCCTCCCTTCCCTTTCCCTCCCTTCCTTCCTTCCCTTTCCCTTCCCTTCCCTTCCCTTCCCTTCCCCTTCCTTCCCTTCCTTCCCTCCCTTCCCTTTCCCTTCCCTTCCCTTCCCTTCCCTGCTTCCTCTACTCCCCTTCTTTCCTACCTTCGCTCTCCCGCACGAGCCCCGGCCTTTTGACTTTCAAAGGCCGCGATCGCCGTCGGCCCTTTCCCTTTCTCGCTCTCAGGGTCCAGGGGCGGGGAAGGGGAGGGTTTTTATTTTGTATTTTATTATTTGTTTATTTTGTATATTGTTTTTTTTCCTGGATTTTTTTTTGGTGTATTTTTTCCCGGATTTGTCTTTTTTGAGGGGGGTTTCCTTCTCTCTCTCTCTCTCTCTCTCTCTCTCTCTCTCTCTCTCTCCTCTCTCTCTCTCTCTTCTCTCTCTCTCTCTCTTCTCTTCTCTCTCTCTCTCTTTGTCTTTTTTTTCTCTTTTTTTTTATGTGTAAAGGGGTTTGTGGGAGGATGGGAAAGGAGATGGCGATAGATTTTACCTGGTTGGTTATGAGGCAAGGGAGGGGGGCTGTAGGTAGGGAAGGTACGAAGGAAGAGGAGGAAGATGGAGAGAAGAAAAGTGAGTAGGGATAGAGGAGAGGAGAGGAGAGGAAGAGGACGAGGTGCGGTAATGGTAGTGGTGGTAGTAGGAAGAGGGAGATGAGAAATAGGAGAAAATGGAAATTGAGTTGGTGAAGGTAAAAGTAGAGGAGTAGGAGTGGGGCAGGAGAGGAGAGGGGGGAGAGGGGGAGGCCTGTTGTGTTTGTCTAACCTCCTCCTTTTTATGCTACTGTTTTTTCTGTGTTCTCTCTCTCTCTCTCTCTCTCTCTCTCTCTCTCTCTCTCTCTCCTCTCTCTCTCTCTCTCTCTCTCTCTCTCTCTCTCTCTCTTCTCTCTCTCTCTCTCTCTCTCCCTCTCTCTCCTAAATCTCTCTCTATCTCCCCTCTTCCTCTCCTCCCTCTCTCTTCCCCTCCCTCTCTCTCCCTCGCCCTCCCTCTCTCTCCCCTCGCCCTCCTCTCTCTCCTCCCCCTCCCTCTTCTCCCTCGCCCTCCCTCCATCTCCCTCTCTCTCCCTCGCCTCCCTCTGTCCCTCTCCCCTCCCCTCCCCCCTCTCTCGTTACTTTTTCCCAGAGAAGAAATTGAACAGTGTTATTCACTTCACTTTTTGGTTTATATATATTACCTGGTTGTTTGCGTGTTTGTATAGAGCAGGTGGAGTGCAATTGGGAGAGGCGGGGGGGGGGGGCGAGTTCAGTACATGTGTACTCTTGTGGGGAAGTAGGGGAATCCCTCCAGTTTACCCCAGTTTTACTTTCCCGTTTTTTCCCCCATTTCGCTTTCCTCTATCTTTTTCTCTCTCTCTTTTTTTTTTTTTTTTTTTTTTTTTTTTTTTTTTTTTTTTTTTTTTTTTGGTTGAAGGCATTTTTCCATCGATATAGATAGAATTCGTTGTATTAATGTTGATATTGTTTGCATTACGAGTTTTATTCTTTTAAATGTGACTGTGTATCTGGTTAATAGAATTGAATTGTTCTGCTCTACATTTTGTGTATTTGTTTGCTTGTTTGTATGTATGTATATTGTATGTGTCTGTCTGTCTGTTCGTCTCCCATATTAAGTATACAAATTTCACTAACATTACTCCGTTTATGTATATATATGTATTTTTTCTTGGAATGCATTGTACTAAGGTCCCTTTTTCCTTTTCAGGTAAGTCCTGCAAAGGTTTCCTTCGAATAGAGAATAGAGGAGGACAGATGGTGAGTGCTGTTTGATGTATTTCTATTCTAGACCATTATTATTGTTACCTTTGTGTGTCTCCTTCTATTTGTGTTTTCAGACGAGTTCACGAGATAAGCGAACTTTTTTATTTTTCACTAAAATCTGAATGATTTAATGAAATCTCTCATTAAGGGAAATTTTGGAGGATGAATGAATTGGTCATTT